CTAGGGTCTTCTCATCGGTCCAGTCAGCGTATGTCCCTCTTGTCGCTCCTCAGAGTTCGTTGCATGATCCAGTCCAGTCAACCACAATTAGGGAAGATTATGGCTGATAGTAAGCGGCAACCTTCTCTTACTTGTGTCCCTGGCCTTCAATTCAAAGCCATTGCTGAGCTTTTCATTCTAATTCATTTGGCATGTTGCCTCATCATATAGCAAATAGCCGTTGATTGAGGTTGATAAAAGTTCAGTGTCAGTAGAACCTCAGTGTTGAAGCAGCTGCCTGCCAAATTACTTCTCTGTCTACACCTCGACAGAAGGCCTTTTCAAGGTTGATAAAGTTGAGGTGGGGTAGAGAGTTGACTGCCGTTTTACGCTCTATTCTACATTGATGATGCGTAGCGTAGCGTTGCAATTTGATCCGCACATGATTTATTCTTCCCGAAGTCAGCCAGCAAGCCAGCCAGCATGTTCCCGTAGTAATCTTGAATCCAGCTCATCCTTTAGTCCCTCTAGGAGGATGGGGCTTAATATTTTGTTTGGGGTGGACAGGGACAGCAGCATGATTCCGCGACAGTACCCTGCGAAGGCTTAGGTCTCCCTTCTTTGGGAGTTTGACAAGGTAGCCCTTCTTCTAATCAATCAGCACGTACCTTTCCTTCCTTCCAAACTTTCTGCAATAGTGGTATGAACACGTCCGCCGTTGGTTCTGCGTTTGTCTTCAGTGATTCTGGAGGAATTCCATCTGGTCCTGCTGCTTTCTCGAATTTCAGTACCCATATTGCGTTCAGGACCTAGGTTTTTGCCGGAAGGTTTGTGTTCACCTGTAGTTCTGCGGTTGCTGGTGGTGGTGATGATGCTGCTGCTGGTGGTAGATTCCAGACTTTCTGGAAATGGTCAGTCCATTGCTTCCTTTGTTTCTCCTCTTTACCAACTAGCTTTCCTTCACTATCTCTCATCGGTCTCATCTGTGTTGATCTCAGACCACCCAAACAGTAAGTAACCTGGTTGTTTGATATAATGTTGTCAGGTCTCTGTCTCTCCTACCACCAGCAGGCTGTTCTGCTTTACCTGCCAATGTTTCGTACAAGTGTCTTTTGTCTTTGCGAGCACTCTTCTTCACCTCCTAGTCCAGTGTACTGTTTTATAGGTTAGGTTGTATCCAGTTCCTCTTTTCACTGTTCATCCCTGCACTGCACTGCACTGCACTGCACTGCACTGCAATAGTCCATCTTCACCATCACCATCACTATCACCATCTTCCTCTCCCTCCTCTATCACCTTCCATGTGTCCGTTGAGATACATTCCTTGTCTTGTCTTGCTGCTTCTTCCTTCCTAACACCGTCATCCAGGTTCATTTCCACATCTCGTCCAAACACTTCCAGTGTTCTTCTACGCACGTCCCTTCACCGATGTTGCTCGATGTCTCCCATTTTGTCCTGATACCTGACTGACTGACTGACTGACTGACTGACTGACTGACTGACTGACTGACTGACTGACTGACTGACTCATTGACTCACTGACTCACTGAAGATATCCTTTGTAGTTTCGTCCTTCAGTTCAGTTTCTGTTCTGCGTGTTCAACTTGAATGTCAACTGTGATCTATCATCAACTCCTGTCAATTGAAGCCTTTCAACTTGATTTTGAAGGCAGCTTCCTTGCACTAGATAGTGGTGTGAGTGGTGTGAACCACCTACATCTACTCCCCTTCTTCATCTCATCTTGTGTCCACTATGCTGTTACTGCATCTCAACTTTCTCCACTCTCTTCACATCGAGATGAAGTCGATCTGATTTTTGGTATACTATGTCATGCCTGGTGTCTGGTCAAATCAAATCCATGTCTCTGCCTTGTGAATGTCCTTGTGTTTGTATACACTGCATCACCTCCAATCAACAAATCCTTGAATGCACAGAAATCTCCAAACTCTTCTCCATCCTCACATATCACTCCACCGAGTGCTTCTCCACACATGATCACTTCTCTTCCTGTGTTGTCTGCTCCCAGTTTGGCATTCATGTCACCCCACCCATGAGGATTTTGATGTGGCCATCTGGAGACGGTGTCTTGTCCATTACTCATTACAGTTGTCGATAGAATTCCTCCTTCTTCTCTTCATCTGCATTATTTGTGGGTGTGTAGCGTGGCGTGGCGTAGCATTGAATGATTGTGACTTTCGTTCCTTTCGAGTTGAATCCATCTGGCTGTCATGATCCTGATCGTGGAGGAGGAGATTGGTTCCCACTGCACGAGACAGAGAGAGAGAGAGAGAGAGAGAGAGAGAGAGTGCCTTCGATGCTGTTAAAGGGGACATCATGATAGCCACTCGAGAACTCATTGTGCTGTGCTTGTGTTTGTCGTCTGTGTGACAATTTCGGAGTAGACTATTGCGTCTCCAGTTGAGAGTTTGGAGAATCCACTTCCATTCTGTCTGCAGATTCTTCGCAGATTCCTACCACTTCTCTGCTATACCTTCTCATTTCTTTTGCGATCTGTGCAGTCCTACTGGGTTCAAACATTGTGCAGTCATTCCATATCCCCATCCTTACTTTTGCTTTCATCGAGAGAAGAGAAGAGAAGAGGAGAGGAGAGACATCAGTCAATTGGCTTTTCGAAGACTCTCATCAACCAGGGTCATTCTGTCTCTCCGATTGCAGTGAGTAATAAGTTTGTTTATATTCTTAATATTTTCTTTGTAGTTTGGAGTTTGTTTAACGATTGTATTGGTTTTGTGGGTAGGGTTGCTAGTCGTATACCCGACTTTTCCTGTTTACCCAGGTTTAGGACCGGTTAGTAACTAGTGAACTAGTTACCTGATCGTGGTTATCCTATCGATAGTCGTTTTCGTTCACTTTTTCATCAGTGACAGCTGGTTACTCAGTGATTATAGCAATAATAATTTCTGTTATCAGTGACCCATCATTTTCAGTTAGAATTATGGGTCATGTGTTCAAACGCCGCCCTACCAATTGAGGTTTCAGCATCCATGTGATACCATTAGCCTTCACACAGCAGATGTGTCTTGTTGCCTACTATACGAACATGAAGAAGGTTGCTGAGTGCATTACTATATTTGGGAGTTAGAATAGTTGATTAGTACGTGTTGCTTATGACGTTTGTATGGTCTGGAATGAGGTTTTCTCTCTAGTACTGACATTTTTATCTCTTTTCTACCTAACAAGTTTGTTCGATGATCAGTTGTAAATGTATATAAAATATCTCTTTGACAAACCTGAAGTTATTCATAGAAGGTGGGAGGGAATTTTAATCATGGGTCAAGCCACTGATCACTGAGGATTATCGAATTGCTGCTTATTTCTGCTTTTGTGAATACCACTAGTGCACATTATCGACTTTTTTCAGAGGTGATTGAAAAAAAATCAAGTGATGCCCATTTCTTACATTCATTCAGTCTATGATGTAAGAGAATCACTGTCTAGTATCATCGATAGAGATCTGTACCAAAGCGAGACTCAGTTGTTTTCACACATTGTGGACTACGTTAAGGACTCTGGAAATCTTGACACAAGTAACCAATCTGTGAGTGTTTGAGAACCAATTTATTCGCACATGATTTTCACGGATTAATATTAGTAACATAACAGCTACTGTCTAACTTTAGTAAAGACTCTCTGCATTCATCAATTATCAAATGCCAAATAATGAAGTTATGAAGTCATTTAATGCTACAAATTTGATGCCTTTTCACTTTAACTTCATGAAAGAATGAGTGAATACATTTTTTTCTTCACTAACAGTGACTCAATAAAGCAAAAAACACGATTAACAATGGGGCTTAACGAAGCTGCACATCAGTGTTCAAACTCTACTGACGTTGATTTAAATCATACAGATAATTTGTAACTCGGTCGCAGAAAAGTCTAAGAGTTACAGACTTGATCGTGAGAAAGCCTATGGAAGGGTATTGGCAATTACTGCATTGGATGAAGGTACGCTATATCGTGAATTAACAGAAGTAGGAGACTGTGCATAATTGAGTTTCAGCCTAGTGACCCTTAAGTAACATGTGCACTACGAAACTTGAAGATTCTGAGTATGATCCCCAACTGGTTCTAAAGAGAGAGCTTGTGAGGAATCCCACAGTAGGATGAAACAGCTGTTCAGTGCTTTCAGTTTCCCAGTGGCTGTCTAAGTGATGTCAGTTTGTGATGGAGATCAACTTGGAACTACTGATGAACGGGACAGTGACAAATGACCTGGTGGTAAAACAAGCTCCAATTAGGTCACGAGAAAAAGTTAGTCTAATCCCTTATTCATACTCGTGGTTTGGGATTCACTCTCAAACTAGACCGAATTGGTCGGTCTCTTTTGGCATATGAACTGCTTAAACGGATGCCTTAATACTGCCTCAAGTTTAGTTATGATATATTTGCTTGGCGGAGGTTAACAGTGGGATCGAGAACCCTAGTTTCGTCCCATCCCGGGCTTGTCAGCTAGATTTACCTGCCCCAGAGAGCAGTGTTGCTCCCACTATTACTCGAACCTGGGACTGAGCGCTTCAAACGCCAGAGCGTTATCCGCGGGACCACCAAGTCACAATAGCCGCTTCTTGGGTGAAGGGTGTAGTTTACATGATCACCGACGGATAAAAACATCATGTGAAGTCAGTGATTCCCCGATTTCTGAAAAAAGCACTGAATTCTCTTGGTGAGAATTCCCACTAACGAAAGCTGATTCTTCCGAAACCCTGGACGCGGCATGAATTGTCAGATGTGGCACGGATCAGAAAGTAGAAACACACCTAAGTCCGTTGTGGCATCTACCAATCACCTCTTTCTAAGAGTAAAAATACGCTTATTTTATACCCAATCACAAACAAGAGAATTCATTGTCACACCAGTCACGTGGTGGGGTAGGTATACGCTGAATATTTTGATTAGACTAGTTCTGTACCACGTGAATATGACCACACTCTAAAAGACATTTGATCGTGATTGGTTAAACACACGCGAACGAATAGGTGTGAAGATACTATATATACTCCTAGGGATGGTTCGGTTTACCTTATTGTCATGATAAGCATGCTCCCGGTTAGTAGCAATGGTGGGGACTATCCACGTGTACCACCTATTTGTAATACAACCAAACTGGTCACACCCCAAACTAATTCCACTGGAACTAATACAGTTTCACAAAGCAAAACACCTTCTCGAAGAGGTAGACGATCAAGTATTCCACCTGAAATTAGAGAACAGACACGTCGAGTAAGTTCATCATAGTTATTATTATGACAGTTATTTGTTTTACCGTGTAATGTGTCGTACACGCTCGTTTAACTAAATTAGGTAAGCATGATCATTGACCATCCGTACATAATAATTTAAATATATACCTCTTGTACATATTGTATGTGAGTGGGACTAGAAGTTATCCTTGGGTATCATAGCGCTGTCTGAAAATATGTATTTTATGGGTTCTATATACATATGTTCTGGAGTGGAAACTGTAATCATATATCCTTTCGGATGGAGTTTGTAGCCTCACTGTGGTCTGTAAGCATCTTCATCCTGAATAACTGTACTCACTTTCCGCCTAGGCGATGGAGGTGCAGCCAACACTTTGCATATAGATAAATGGTTTGAAACACGACTCAATGACAGATGGCGTTGTAAAAACTATGCAAGTGGGTAAAATATTCATACAGAACACAGAAAACGTTTGTAATCTCACAAACCACCACACAACCTTTGGCGAGCATGATAATCCCTGGGGATAACTTCCAACCCCGCCCGTTATATGTGGGAATTAAAATTTGGGCTTTGCATGTAAACGCCGTTGCGTAAAATCCTTCAGATCCCTTTCAGTTTCAGTCTTGTCTACTTGTCTGTCCTAAGCTTTAGACTATAAACAACCTGCATAGATCTGCGCAACAACGAAATATATGGGTGGGTTCTGTAAATGTACCGACCATTGACCTCGATCGAAGACATCCCAAAATGGCATACAGATATGTGCAGTTACACTTAATAAACACGTAGATGGAGCTATCTGCATGTCCACGTATCGGATTACGAATGAGTTGATAAGTTGAGATTGAGGTATGTTGAAAGTTCATTACTCCAATCATTTAGTAGTAAATATTAGCATACTTCAGATATTGTTATAATTACCAAACCCCCGAAAAAGAATAGGATTTTAATTGATTATATCTGTATGTAAATTGCAAACACTTGAATGTACTTGTTTCTCAGGAAAATAGAGTCTGTTAGACTTCGAGTTCAGTATTTGTTAATGTAGACAACTGGATATTTCCTCAAGTTTCTGATCATGTTCTGGAGTCAGTCTATTATTATTGACTGATTAAAGCAGAATTATTGGTCGTCCATTCCTATCACAATAGAACTGGGACTTGTAGAAGTTTATATCAAATCGTCCTCAGAATATCAATCTCATGTCCCAAAAAATATTTTCTACATGTTGTTTTGCTTACACTCTGACAAATAAGAAACAACTTGTCTTACCGCGGTCAGTATGACAGTCGTTTTACCGTACGAGCACTGAGTTCCTTACAGCAGTTGGACGAATGAGTTAGCCAAGTTTCTACCTACTTATGTGGAAAACGTTTATGTCGGTTTTCAGTAATAGGGACAGCAGGCCAGTTATCCTGTATTAATAATTTAATAATTCCCATTGTAACATCAAGAACAAGATATTCAGCGAAGGGACTCTTCTCAACGAATTTATTTTCAAGCTGTACAATCGTATGTATATGATATTTGGAAAAAATTATATCCCGTGAGGAAAACTAAACACTATATGGTGATGACAACAATAATAGAGCGGATGATGACATAGGCATTTGTGATTATAATAACAATTGAAGTGTGAATGATAACAAATAGATTATGTAATATATGGAATGGTACATAGAGAGTATATAACTCAGAAGGGGATGAAAAAATTGTTGAAAATGGTAAATCAATTAAGTATTATGTAATGGCATTAGACAAGTTGGACAAGATGAAGTCAATGTTTTCTAAAAGGATTAAGACAATTAAGTGAAACAACACCGGAAACTAGTTAAAGTGAAGGCGATTATAATAACAATAATAGTGATAAAGGAAGGATACAAAGGTTAAATTAACAAAGTGGGAGGGGAGCTAATGGGGTGGGAAAATGTTATGGCCATGGTGAAAACAGTGACTGCACGTACTTCTTTTGTACACACAGATCAGGTCTTAGTTCATGAACAGCTAAAGCGTCCGCTGTTTTAAGGAGTTGAAAACGAAGAGAACGTGGGAGGTTTGGGCGAATTTGATAAATAATTTCAAAGTCGCTGTCTGGATTTGTTGTGTGGTGGAAGTCAATCGAATGTTCTAGAATCGAACTTCTAAAGACTTTCACCTTTATAAAACCAAGCAGGAACATGTTCTCGTATACGTGTAGAAAGCATTCTCTGGCTACGGCTGATGTACCTTGCTCCACAAGAGCAGGTGAACTGGTAGATGCACATAGAGGCGGCCAAACTAAGAAGCTTGTCTTTAACTCAAGCGGAGAATAGGTTGCGGCTGGTAAAAGTCAACTGAAGTCTTGCTGCGAAGAAAGTCCTATTGATTGATCTGGTAAGACGACTCTTCAGTACATCCGATGCTAGGTCACCTTTAAACTCTAGGCTCATAAACAATCTTTTCTTTGAGACCGAGTGGATGACTGGTTTAGTGTTTCTTTCCCGCATATTTTTATCAATAAAACGGCTAGGGTAACCATTTTCGACAAGTATGCTTTTAAAAAAAGTTAGCTCTTCACCTATACAATCGTCACTACAGATATTCCTTATTCGATAGCAAAGAGAGTGAATAAGATTTCTTTTTCTGTTGATGGGCACCCAGCTATAAAAAGTTAGTTGTCCGTTCCACATTGTATTAGTCTTTGAGGAAGATATCCACAGGAGGATCTAGTTTCTTGCCTAGGTGATGAATTCCAGTCGTTGATCATACTATGGGAGAAACTCGGAATCACGCTAAGTTGGTTCGGTCACGGTTTTTGAATTTTTTTGTGATTCCCTCAGAGATAATTAATCCTGGCAGGGAGGGAAAGTTAGGACAAAATTTATTATTAAGGATACGGAATGCCAGCACGAGGTCACCTGTTTCCTACAGTAAGGTAATGGGAATAAGTTTGACCGATCTAATCGTTTCTCATATGGCAGATTCGAAAGGCCTTCCACAAGCATGGCACGGAGGTTATGAAATACTCAACAGTTCCCTTCTAAGAACATCCTTTTAGCCACTAGTTAGTCTCGCAATTAGTCAGCGAGTCAACTGATAACTTTCAAACGTATTTATTTTCTACTCATTCTAGCTGAAAAAACAAAATATGGAACGTAAACGACGTGCTCGTATCTCTGATAAGATGAATGCATTGCATAATTTGGCGATGAATTTGATTGGAGTTGATGTAAGTGATGTTTTTATCATTATATTACTCCTTGGTATATATATTTCACTTTTATCCAAGCTGCTGTGATTAGCAGAAATACAGTTCTGCGCATCTTTGCACAATGAATCGACTTCATTATATTTTGTCATCTAAGGTACGCGTATTTGGAGGTGTATCCGAATTCTAGTTTACAAATTAGCTTTCACTTATTTTACAAACTATGATTCAGCAAGTAGTGTGTAGTCTATAGGAGTTGTGGGAACTTGATTCGTAACAAGAGACGAACAGTAGATATTGTTTAAGAACTAGGATGAAACTAAATAGCCATTCTGAACGGTTAGTGACCAACTGCATTTTCCATACATGTGACAGGTGTTGGGGAACTTTAAATGATTTGAATGAAATTAATATTTGTTTAAGACTTGGTAGTAATACTTCCTTCCGTCGACAGCATGTCTTAACGACAACCTTAGTCGTTCGGTAGAATTTTACATCGTTTGTTGCTCTTCACATCCACTTATCAGTCCTTTAATGCGGAAATCATTGTACCAACTGGGTTTATCTAATTATTATTTATTGATATGTGTAGTTTCCCGTCGTTATTTTGGATCAAATCGACCGATCTCTGGTGGAATATGAGCTCCTATAGGATACCTCGATATTGCCTGTTTATTCACTCTGTTGTAGTTTGATTAGTGATGGATAACAGTTGGATCCAGGATGCATGTTTCGTCTTATCTGGGACTTTACAACTGGATATACCTGCACTCCAGTGAGTGGTGTTGTTCCCAACGCGAACACACGACTCACCGCTTGAAGCACTTAATGGATAACGCCTTGGTGTTTAGAGTGATGGGTACTGGGTTCTAGCGAGTTCTGGATTCCGTTGGTAGCCACCACCAAACGATGTTTTATATTTGACACTTTCACTCGTGGTGACATATCATAACATCACCTCCCATTTTAACAAAAACCTTTCAATCCCAAAACTTGAAATCACTATTCTACATGAGTACATATTTATCAAATCGCGCGTGAAATAGTTTTTTGTTAGATGTCATCTTGTCGAGTTCATCATCACCTACTTATCTATATATTTGTTTCCAATGCAAACAGACACCCAGGCATGCATACATTTAAATACATGTACCCACAAATTTTGTTTACCACGCCCACAATTATTCACACTCCTTTATGCAGTGACGAATAATGAATAGATTGAACTAACTAGTCCTTGTTTATGTTTTTGTTTTTGTTAAAAATGAAATTCAGCCGAATGACTAGTCTTCATTTCATCTCAGTAACTGAATGTTGTTATCACTATATTCATCAGCGGTAATGTGATAAAGTTGTCACAGCTATCACAGACATTTCCCAACAATTCGTAATTATTTCTCTTTGGTCTTACACGTGTTTTTTTTAGAGCAGGAGACAAGTTTATTGCGAGTCATTAAACAGCAGGTAAGTTAGTTACCACCTATTCAATAGCTGAACAAACAAATACTGAAACCATTGAGTCATACATAATATTACGACTGGTGTTCGAGGTTGTTTCTCACGAGCTCATACTTGTGCTCAGCCTTCCCTTGGAGTATGAATCTCAAGCTTGCATATGTATTTTTTCCCCATAAACCTCCATTGGAAAGGAAAATAATCACTATGGTTTTCCTCAAACGAGTAACGAAGACATGTGTGTTAGTGAAGTTAAATAATTCCCTTTCATTTGTCATAGAGGGGAGGTGGTTGCAAAAATAAGAATTTAATCTCGTGTAGAAATGTTTTCCTTATTTCTGACAGTTGGCCACAAGCCAAAATTACTCGTTAACTTGGTTTTTCTTATTTCGTTGGCGTCCTTTTCACTTTTCATTGTTTGTTTCCTTATTTCAGCCTGTTGAAAGTTATAAAGTTGAGAAGGCGGATATTTTGAATTTATGCTATAGTGTATTTGAACGAGTCGCGAATATTGCTAAAGATAAACCCGGTAAGTGGTTCAAACACATACTCTTTGTGACCCGATGTGTTTTTATATCTAAAGACTGTAATGTATTCCTCAATGCTAGCCAAGACTTTGACTGGTTGTTGTCCACTTTTTACCACACCGAAGCTAAGTTTAACAGATGAGATTCCAGGGGGATAAACTCTGTAGGCGTGATTAGTGTAAGCGAAGTATCTTAATAGTATGCTGAAAATGAAGTATATGGTGCATTGCCTTACATATTCAGCTTTTGCAAGTATTGGGTCTTAAATTCGAAAACTCCACTGTGTCTGTTTTGTCTTTGAACAACTAAATGGTGTCACTTACTTTCGCATAAGTCTCCCTTTACTGAGTATATTATGCAGTTAACTACAAGAATCTCTGTTCGTCCTCAATCCACTTTAAATTAACTATGCTCATGAAAGCACTTGGAAAACTATCTTTCGGCGCCTAGGGTTTCAAATTTCATCGAAGTTAGTGTGTAGGTCTGCAGCTAAATGATAAAGTAATTTAGTGGACTGGATTAAAACCAGGTGAGTGGCGGAAATTTCTCACAAATTGCGACCGTTGCTCGTAGTTGAGCCTTGTTGTAACAACTCAAAAAGGTTGAGTGGATTATTTTCCACTACTCAATTTATTTACTGTTTTTTTCCATAAAGCACTTTACATAGAGTTTGTAGATCTGTTTTGTAACAGTTTCTTGAGAGGGATCCTCAAGACTCCCATCCTGAAAACTAGCTAAAACAGTTAATTAGTTTACTTTATTTCGTCGTTCAGGAAGATAGTTTTCTTGATAAAATAAGGAAACCGACTTGGTTATTTTGATAGTTAAGTTGACCTTTCCATCCGGTCGTTAACTTTCTACGCCCTATAGTACAAAAGTAATAGTTCAACTGGGAAGTATATCACTCAATTTCTAAACCAAACGAGTCTGTTATATGTATGTAATTCATTGCATTATATAGTTTATTATTCAGACGTGTAGATAAAATTACATGACCCAAATCAACAAGGTTGTATACTATTATCAAATAGATCAAAATGTAGCTTGGATTTCGTGGAGATTTGTTGATTTCGAGGTGGTATTCATCACAAACTGACATCATCGTTTGAAGAACTCTTCAAAACTTACGAGCACTGGACAGCTGTTTTGTTCTATCTCGTTCATTGCTGAGTAGTCTTATAGAAGGACAGAACAGCTGGCCACTGCCCGGAGGTTTTCCGTAGTTCTGTAACTGATGTCAGCTCTTGACAAATACCATATTGAAACAGATCAGTTCTAGATGAGGAAAGTGTTACCTTGATGATAGTCAATGGTATGAAGTTTTGATTCCCAATTGAATTATTTCCCGCCATAAATATGTTTGTAGTTATAGCAGACTCATAGATTGTATTTCGAGCTCCTGTCTCTACATGACTGCAGATTATAAACTTTTCAATTGCGTAAATATATCAATCTGTTCACAAAATCGTCATCTAAATGTTGATTACATAGACTGTATTGTGATTATTGAGCATAAGTCACTTTCAAACGTCACCGTCATAGTTGTCGTTGGATTTCAGGGAAATCTTGGCGAAATAACTTAGACTTGAGAAGAAACAGATAAAGTTCTAGGCTGCTTTTAAAAAAGGATTTCTGCTTTATGCATTGATTGGTCACTGAACAACAACCAGTTTCATATTGTCTAGTCCTGAGTGCTGTTCAAATCCTATCGATCACTTTGCAAGGTGGCTGTCAGGCTAGTTGACTCAACATTGCTATGCACTTTGACAGATGTTAGTTGGATGGGGGCAATTACCAGGAACCACTCAGCACTCAGCAGAAAGGCAGATCTACGACTTTGAGAGGATTAATGTCTTACCTGACATTTGAACCCACATCACCCAGTGTTATAGTCAGCGGTGTTACTACTGAGCTACTCGGGTTGCGACTGATCTCCCGCAAGACTAGATTAAATAAATTGGTCACCTTGTCTATTCTTGTAGGCTGATTTCTGCCTTTATCAACTGCCAAACCTGGAAGTAATAATTCCCATTGGTTATGGTGATCACTTTAACACTGAGACACGAATCGATACTCATTGTCTTAACTTTATATTGTAACCATTCATGAATGATATCACTACATAATTTTACAAAAATTAGAATAAAATTTGGTAGTTTTCAATGATACTCTTAATACTGTTTTCTTTTCTAATTTCAATAGAATTACAAGTCCGTCTGAAGAAATTACGTCATAGTTTGAATGAAGCAACATCTTCCTCCTCCATTACCTCGAACACCACCGGTATCCCATCATCATCTTTTTCATCACCGTCTACATCGAAGGTAAAGATGAATGAATTGACCAAATCCATTGAGAAAACAACACACAATTCCATGTTTTTAAGTAAGTGTGACTGTTCATTACATACTCTCTCTGAAGATATGAAATATCCAGGACAGCATTTAAACTTGACTACAACTACCTGCCCCTCCAATACGCCACCAGTGTCATCAATATCTTTTAACGTGCCACCTTGTACTAATCCCCAACAAACGTTTGATGAAGCTGACAAAGAGAATAAAATACCAAAGTTAATCATCAGACATTCTTTATCATCAAATAAAAAGTATGCAACTACCAATGTTACTGCTACCAACACAGTTACTAGCAATACATTTGATTCACTATCTATCAACTCTGCTGTAAAATGTTCTGCACCATTCTCTCTTTGTTCAACTCCTGTGCATAGTCTACCTTCAAGTAGTGAAATACATTCACAGAATAATAGTGGAACAGCTATACAATGTCGATCGACACCTTTACAATGTACTAAAACACTTAATTCATCAGTGGACAATTCTGACAGTGGCTTTCATAGCATTGCTGACAGTCATAATAATGATAATTATTCATTAGAGCTAACGCCTGATAGAATAAATCAGTCAAGAGATATTGGTGGCAATGCCAACCGATGTTGTGGTGAATCTTTATTCTTGCACTTATCAAACAGTATCAATTCCTCAGATGATTCACCCATTAATTCTACACAGCGTTTATCATCTTCATCACTCTCAAGTTCAAGAGAACATAAATCAGCGTTTCATATACCTGCTTTTACCTTAACTCGACCTTCAAACGCTTCTTTTCTATCCGGTCATCTTCACAGACGACAACACTATCAACATAGCGCGAATAGTATTGATTCTGCAGCTACTCTTCTTTCTCAGTCGGACGCTGTTACTTCGAGGACATCAACAACACCGTCAGCTGTACAGTTATGGAGGCCATATTTGGATTGAATCCGTTTGTCCCCACTGACGCATAAAATACCTTGTGTATCGAATTTACGACCACTTTCGTGTGGTATGTATGCTTACGAACACGTGTGTAGGTGAATGATTTGACCTCGGATTTCATCAGATACTGCACAAACAAAATTCTATAGTTTATTTATTTATTTTTCGGGGAAAGAAACAATATTTTTTGAAATACTGTACAGATATTTTATACTAGAATTTTTTGAATAAACAAAATAGAATATTTATTCAACCGGTTTTTTACATATGGACATTACGGCGGTATGGTATGGTTTGAACTAGCGATGCTTTAGTTAGTTAGTTAGTTGCCAGCCTACGTCAGTTGACTGACTAAGCTTCCAGACTGAACCTTTAACCTGGCCCTTGTTTCGCTACAGTAGTTTACTTTTCTCGTGAAACTGAACATTTCGTCACTTCATCCAACAGTTACCAGTTTATAGTGTGAATTACTGGCGTTAAATTGATAAATACAGATGGTATTAGGCAATTGACGTCCATTGATTCATCAATAAACGTAGTCAAATAATGGTCGAAGTCAAAAATGAATACCTGGTATGTGGCAAGATCCAAATTATTAGCCTTCCGGGTGCCTGTGTGTTTCTCTGCTGAGTTGACAAATCCAGTTAAAGTTCTACTCGACTGTTGTGTGAACGGTTGGTGTATTACTGTCCCTCTGTCATCATCACACTGCGTTTCCCCAAGTGAGGTTTTCTTGCCGTAGTCAAGTTGAATTGAAGATGGCTTAGTTTATTGTAGGTTAGATTATTTGGTATTATTGTCTATGTGTATGTGCGGATTGGGATGAGATCCTGCGTTGTATTAAGATCCAAACAATCACCATCCTAGGCAGTTTGGCTAAAAATACTTCTTTATTTAAGCATCTGTTGTATTCTGGGGTTGTATTGATCATGGAGTGACACATTTGGAGAACCATTAAGAACTTGATAGCATTGATCATCTGTTTAATCGTAGTATGGAACTCCTCAGTAGTGTACCCCACGGTCCTACTAGGCATCTGACCCGGAACCTTCGGGTCTCTTAGTGAGTATTTTGCCATTCAGCCACTGTTTCGGATTCGAATGGTCTGCACTTTCCTACTTCTAACTTGCGATACCGTCATCCAGTCCCACCGAACTGTCAAGTAGCATAAGTTTGAAATTAATGATGCATAATGGTTAGCAGTACGATTCGAGGCTCCTGAGCTGGACGTACCTACTTTCCAGGAGTGTTGTTCAAATTGGAACTCGTACCCAGGATCCATCGCTTTGTATGCTTATAAATTACATTAACACTAATGAGTTTTTAAATCTTTGTGGTTAAGCCATTGTAATGTGGTGTGTACGGCGCATGAGAATACAGTTAAGTAGTTCTTAGTGCAAATTCTATGGGGAAAGTAATCAGATTTGATATTAGGTCAGTAGAGGTCCTGGAGGAAGAAAATAAGACACATCAGAAGACAAGTGAAGAAGAAACTCAGGCTTAAGGATGATTACCTAGAACGCAGGTACTATGCACGAATTACGTGTAAAGTTTTAATATTCTATCAATACTCAGTGTGCTCTCCTCGTTAAACAGCTCTGCTGATGCTCACTTGCTTTGTTTCCCATACCGACAGTATTTCATGATGGTAAGTGTTATAGCTTTAACTTAACGATAATCTTCTAAGTCGTATCATTCTTCGCATTCACTGCTAACGATGACTGTGCATGCGATTAACTCTGTATATGATTGCCACTTTTCGATACACAATTCGTCACTCGTTTCGCCCTTTTCCCAACCTAGTACAAAAAAGGCAACTCCTATGCTTACTGTTCTATATTTGTAATCTGAGTCATCCATGTGCATGCATATAGGGAGTGAATTATTAACGTACACCACAATACAGTTCATAAGACTCAGTGGTCGCTGGTTCGAATCCTGCCATGGTTCAGCTTTTCATCTCACCTTCAATCATCATCCAGTATAAACTACGGTTATCTCAGGTAGCCAAATGAAGTAAATGATTTCATATATTGGGTAAGTGGAATAATATGCAGTCGATTTCATTTAGCATTTCAGGACTGAGTCATACACATATGCGTGAAAAGCTCATGAGAGAGGCCATATAAGTAGGCCCTCAGTGGAATTTCTTTTAAAATAAGTAATACAGTCGACCAAACCTACCTGAGATCCATATTTCCCTTTCTTTTCATATAGAATGCATAATTTATTCTTTCTTACTCATCAGTTAGGCATACTTGTTATGCCTGAAGTATGGTGGGGGCAAAACTTAATATCTCCATTACTATGGATGGCTATTTGACTTATGGTATTCATCTCTCATTCATTGAGGCTTCTGCTTTTAGTATGCTTCTCTCTCCCTCTCTCTGTGATTTTTAATAATAATAATAACTTTATTTAACAGACTGTTCGATACAGTATGGAATTCTCTGTGTGTGGTATTTCAACAAATTTACTCTATGTACAGTAAATGAAATAATTATCATGTCAGTGAAGTTAATAATAACAATATTACGCGTAATAATTTGAAACAACCAACTGATGTTAGATTTAGTTCGTAGGCGGTAAACTGTGAGGATGAATAAAAATGTATGCCTAAGTTTGTTGGTGGTCGTTCATTCAACCAGTACAAAAATCTTCAGTTTGAGGTAAAGTATTTCAGGAATAATTTTATGTGATGTATTGTTGTGAATTTGAAGTTCAGTCTTATTATAACTGTGATATTTTTTCTTCATTTCATTGTTAACTTACAAAACGGTAAGCTGAAAACGCTTTAAAAATGCACGAAAGTACATGAAACGATGTGAAGACATTTTAATGATTAAAATAGTTTGGAAAGGAGTAACTTGATAAAATGTGTTCGCTGGAAAGTTTCGATAGGCCAAAGTTCAAACAGGCCACCGTCGTTTTTTGATTATCTATGGTCTTATGGATTCATATGATTGATCTAACTGTCAAATATTAACAGATGAAGTTTAAGTATGTAAGGATTTACTAAAGGCAATGGATCACACTGATTCAATGAACCAATATTTCCATTTTGTTGCTGGATAAGTGTATTTTCAAATTTTGTGCAAATAGTTATAAATTCTGTGGACTAACTGAACTGACTTCATAACTGAAAGTATAACGTGTTGGTAGTTCATAAAGATCGCTGATTTCTTTCAAAACCCACAGTTTCTTGTGTAAGTATCCGTCATATTTCTAAATACCAAGTATTAAGTAGTATTCTATTATAGTGATACAAAAAATAATTATGAAGACATACAGACTCACGTCAAAGTTGAACTGAAGGGAGAGTTAAAACTAGCAACAAATGTATAAGATGTAGAAATTGAATTCAAATATTTCGGTGATCTCTTCAGCTCATTGCTCTACAAACTTGGTTATGTAAACCATGATCGGATGTGAATTAATGGTTCTGAAAAATAATTGTTTCAAAAAGCGGATACCTGGAAAGTTTCCTCAACAAGTACACCAGAAATCGAGACGTGAAACGAATCGTCTTCACTCCCCCAGAAAAAGTTAGTTTATATATTAGTCTTCCATTTAAATGTGACGATGTACATGATAAAATCAAACAGAAGCTGGATAAAGTCATAAGAAGAACCCACTATACTACATACAAAACCAATATTTCTTGGCACCACGAAGAGGGTACTGCAACAGTCCAGGAAAGACGAAATGCTTATCCTAAACGCTTGTAAATGCATATATCAGTTTGAATGTATTTGTGGAAGCAAATAAATAGGTCGTACGAAAGGCGACTGTTTATCGTATAGTTAAGCACTTGCTTACATAGCTCATTCTGAAGTAGATATTCCAAGAAGCTCTATAACCAAACTCCTACTGGGCTTCAACACTATCGCGCCCTTTATAATGGTCAGTAAACAACCAGTTATGAAACTGCTTTCAGTCAACGAAGTCCCCATCGTTGCTTGGATATCAAAAAGATATATACTATACTCTTCGCACAAGGAGTGACTACTCTGACTCGTCGGCATGATGAATAACACTCTGGCGTTTAAAATGGCTAGTCCTGGTTTCGAGTTTCAACGGAAAGGATATCACTCGCTGGGTGGCAGGTACATCCGGCTGAAGAGTGCGAGATAGGACCAAACGCCTAGTTACTTCAGCAGTTACTGGGGTGACCTATAAAGACGCTCGTCTTTTTCTTAAAAGCAGTTTGAAATTCTATCTGACCTACCCTTCAGACTTATCTACTGAGCTACTCAGGCCAAAACTAACCCACTATAAAGGCGAATTATGTACAAGAACTGGTCAACACTCGGCAACCGATGTAGCTACCTAGTTTTTAGTCCTTAGAACTGATCGAGATTTATCGATCAAGTTTCGCAGTGATATGAAACTGTGGTGCCCTGGATTTCGGTACACTTACTGTTGACCAATTCGTTTATGGGGTTATTTAAGTTGTTATTTTTATTTAAGCAATCTAATCGCTTATTATGTTGATTAACTTCAACGCCTTTCACCACCAAGATTTCTCCTCATCAGCTTCAGTCATCATATCGATATAAGAATACTGGTCTGTCTGTCTGTCAGCGTTATCCGAAACAGTCATTTATAGCCATCAATATCTCGATTCGTATGATTCTACTTCAATTAGAGCTGAAAAAGAAAAGCTAACTTACAATTATTGTGATGAAGACAGTAGATTTGCGTATTTATCATAACTTACACTGTGATTGGATTCAATACTCTTTAATTTAGGTGAAATGGGAACCTGTCTAGCAGTCACTATTCATCATTCAGTAGTTAAGTTACCAGTTTGGTGATCTGGATAGCTCGAGCTCTTATCTTACCAATAACCTGTGTATGCTTCTTGATTGAGGCCTACCAGACAATCCAAGATGATGACTGCAGACTAAGTTATATGTTCCACAACTAATCTCAGTGGGTGAGATGCATTCAAACTCTAACTTCACAATCTGATCTTTACCCTACATTTTGTTGCTAACCTTGTTCCCATGTTTTTACGGTTTACACTTTTCTTCTATCTTGAATAGAATTAAGTTCATATTTATCTTGCCGCATGTTAGCTCTTATCTTGGTCTGCTAAGTGGCGATTCGAACAGTCACTCAATCATAACAGGTTGTACTACTAATAATGTATGTCTGTTTCTCTGAGTCATCATCCTCGTACACGCAGACACTGAGCGATTTTAAAGGCTATCCAGGCAACTACTGAAATGACCAATTAGGTTTATCTATTTCATAAAAAAAATACCTTTATGCTGAAATCAAGAAACCTGATTGATTGTT